TAGCTCCACATGATAACAACAGGTACGGTGGGGGAAATAAGGTACAGCCACCTTCTGCCTCTATCTCTGCCTCTATCTTTATCTCTATCTCTACCTCTACCTCTACCTTTATCTCTATCTCTACCTCTATCTCTACCTCTACCTCTATCTCTACCTCTACCTCTATCTCTACGTCTACGTCTACCTCTATCTCTATCTCTATCTCTACCTCTACCTCTACCTCTATCTCTATCTCTATCTCTATCTCTATCTCTATCTCTATCTCTATCTCTATCTTTATCTCTACCTCTACCTCTATCTCTATCTCACCACTGACTCTGATCAGTGTTTCTCCTCTATATAGCTTATTGTCATAGTGATGAGAAATGTAATATTGTGTCTACTCTGTAAGTCGCTTTGGATAAAAGCGTCTGCCAAATGCATAAACATAAACATAAACATAAACATAAACCCAACCCAACTCAACGAAACCCAACTTTATTCCTATAGCTCCACATCACAACAACAGTTATTTATCTCCCAGCTTTCCAAACAGAGCAGCTCAGACTCTGAGTTATTTCCAGAAGAACAACAGTTCCCACCAAGAGCAGCACTAGGAGACCCAGGGAGGAAACAACTGCCTGGACCGGTTAGGGGTGAGAGAGAGAGAGAGAGAGGGCAAGAGAGAGAGAAGGAAGGAAGGAAGGAAGGAAAGAAGGAAGGAAGGACAGAGAGGGGGAGAAAGAGAGAAAAGGAAGGAACGAAGGAAGGAAGGACAGAGAGAAAGAAGGAAGGAAGGAAGGAAGGAAGGAAGGAAGGAAGGAAGGAAGGAAGGAAGGAAGGAAGGAAGGAAGGAAGGAAGGAAGGAAGGAAGGAAAGAAGGATAGAGAGATATAAGGGAGGCAGCCTACACAGTAACACACAGACTGGATAAACAATGGTAAAGATATTGATCAGAATCAGAAATACTTTAATTATTTTTTGTTACCAACTCCAGAAATACAACAGCATATACATATTTACATGTATATATATATATGTACATATACATATACAACATTCCTCACAAAATATAAATATAAACATATGTAACTATATGTATATATTGATCTGAAATGATAGAAACTTTCTGAAAAGTATAGACAAAACTTCACAGATTACAGTGAAGCAACAGAGCAAACAAAGAAAAAAGAAAGAGTTAAGATAGTTTTAAAAATGTGAACACAAAGGTTGGAGCAATGTACAGGTAGCTAATGATAATGATAGCAGTAAACAGCCCCCCCACAGAAACCCCCCGGTGACTCAGTCCAGTTGGGAGCAGATTTGCCTCTCAGCAAAACGCTGCGACTCGCTTTGCCTAAAAACCAAAAGAAATCGATAAGCACACAAAGCATGAAATTAACTTTTCCAGCAGAGTGCCCCCCCCCAAGCCCCCCCCCAAAGGGGACGCACACTTTCCTCTGTATCGATGTTCCTCTGAGAGCTGTAAACCAGAGTGAGGAGAGGCATTTATCAGACTCGGGGGGGGGGGGGGGCACTCTGCTGGAAAAGATTGTGTACAATAAGATTTTGAGCAAAGTTTTTACCATTAAATTATGCAAAAGGTGTCAGCCGCAAAACATTTCAGAAACCGTATCTATCAAATATGATACATTTGGCATTACAGTATGTGCTTTATATAAGTAAAGTTTGAGTTGAGTTGAGTTGGGAAACATGGTGGATTTCGGTGGAACGATGGCAGATCGGCAGGTTTTTTTTAGTGGAAAATCAGTTTGAATCACTTGTATTAAGTTGTTCTTGTCTTCATCAGTGTTAGTCATGCTTTTTGTTTTCTTCGGGTCAGACAACAATAATCCACAAGAGTGTTTTTACCTTGTTGATGGTTTCTGTGCCTCGCTTCCTCCTTTATCCAGTGCTTGAATTTGTTGGTTTCGGATCCAACGATGTGTTCCCCATCCCAGTCCATAATGCGGTTATTTTTCTTTTGCAGTGATCCAATATGGCCAACTTCAGGTTTTCTTGTTCCGCTTTGTCTTTTTTTGTTCTTGTGAGTCTCCCTGTTGTTTCTTTTTCACACTCTGGTTGGTGCTCCTTTCTTCTTGTGCTGAAAACCCGTCCTGTTTCACCAATGTAAATATACTTCGTCCCATTCCTTTTCGAACAATTTATTATGGTTTATGTATTCATTGTGTTGTGTTGTATTTACACATCTTATATTGTTTTGTTGTTCGAATAAACTGAACTGAACTGAACTAAAGTGGGGGAAATAAGTATTTGACCCCTTGCTGATTATGCAGGTTTGCCCACTTTACAAAGAATGCAACGATCTATAACTTTAATCATATGTACATTCTAACAGTGAAAGACAGAATCCCAAAGAAAATTCCAGAAAATAACATCACATGAATTTATAAAAATTGATAACCATCTGATGAGGAAAAATAAGCATTATTTGTAAGTGGGCAAACCTGCAAAATCAGCAAGGGGTCAAATACTTA